TGTGGGGAACACAGAAGATAATGCAAGTGCACACCTAGCACAGAGTGGGCATTCAAGAAACGTTAGCCGCTGTTAAAATGATTATTATGAGATAGAGACTAAGGCTGTGGGCTTTGAAGCCAGACCAATCTCATGATTAACACAACAGTCATCTGAACACAGATAATCACGGATGAATAACGCAACACAGAATCATCTGAAAACACTTCTGAATTCAGAATACATTTTCTTAATCAACTCACAGTCGAAGGTACAACCAATACCATATTGCCTAAAGCTGAAACATTTCTTAACAGCGAAGAAGTAGGCCCTCGTGTTCAAAGGGTACAAAACCAGTGGGTTTGCTGGTTTGTTATTTTATCTTTACGGGTAACTGAACCACGGAGAAGGTGAACAATGTGCCCAGGGTCGCCCAGTGTGGTGCTCAGGACTGCAGAGGAGCTCAGCCCGAGTCTCCACCCCGGACATGTTACCAGGTACCATACAGACTTTCTGGCAGTTTCCCCCAGGCTTTCCTGAGACACACCGGAAGTCAAATCATCCTCTAAAAACTGATTTTCTGACATAGCCACCTTTGCTCGTTTTTAACCAATTTCTACCCTCTTCTTTACAAGGAAGCAGTTCAGTCAATGTAAAATTGTGTAAATTCAAACAAATTACCTAAAGCAAAGCTCTCTGTGGAACAATGGGGTGGCATCCTCGGGAAGGAGCTGCCAGTCCCTGCTCTCTGCACAAAAGCAACTGCTTGGTGCTCTTCCCAGTCCTGATGAGCCAAGGAGAGTGTGACCTCAGCGGTTAGGTGATAATCTCCTCTTGGTCCTTTGCCGCGCTACAATACCTGAACGTCATTCTTCTCCCCCTCTCCTCTTTAAAGACAAATCCTGGCATGCAGAAGGTTGGGCAAGGGCAGAGTATTTGATCAGAAGGTCCCAACACTGCTTGGTGAATTTCCTGCCAGTAGGCTCAAGCATTCGCTTAAGTGCTATTCCAGGGGCACCTGGCGGGCTCAGTCAGAGCATGTGACTGACTCTTGACCTCAGGGTTGTCAATCTGAGTCCCACCCTGGGCGTAGAGATTACTTAAAAAAAAAAAAAAAAAAAAATTTCTTGAAAGCACTTAAATGCTTTTCCCTTTGACCCTCTTCCTCCTCTCTCCTTCGATCAACCATGGTCAGCTGGAGCAGCTAATATTTCCCAGGTGAGGAGGGGTGCGGGGCAAGGGCTATTAAAATATAGTGAGCCTTTATGGACACTTCTTGCCTTTCACAATTTGACAGGCCCTGCTCTTTCGACCCTTAGGACATGATGCAAATCTACTTCAGTCTGAAAAGAACACTCCTAAAAATCAGAAAAGACCCTCTGGCTACCAAGTATCCATCATTGAGCTTCCTTTAGGACACCCGAGCAAAGGGTACAGCATTCCCCATAAAACCACACTGCTCTTACTTAGCAAAGGCTTACTCAAGAGGCAAATAACAGCTCCTCCCACCAAGAGCACCCCCTTATCTCTGGCCCCACCCTTTCCTGTCTTTTGTCAGTTGCTGGGACAGAAAAACAGTCAACATAAATTGGGCAGCAATTTCGGTCTGGGTGTGTATTCTCTGAAGGCTTCCCTTGAAAGCAACTAGAGGAAATAAGATATTGATATGGGGGGGGGGGAACCTTAAGGAGAGACAACTGTAGATTTGGAGCAGGAAGTGACAGAGAAAAAAATCTCAGAGGACAGAGGCATATATGTGGCTAGATCATCACGGAGTCCACAGTAGGGGCCTTGGGGTAGAAACTGGGAAGAGGAAGCAAGTTGGTTCATGCCCATTTAAAGTTGAAAACCTGGATTGAAATTTTAAGTTTATCACAATAATAGAAATAAACAATGAGGAGTAAAAGAACTACACACACAATGTGTTCTGTATGATTCCACTCAGAAACAGGTAAACTTAAGCTATGGTGTTCAGGAAACATATTTAGGTGGTAAAACTATAAAGAAAAAAACAAGGACGGGGCGCCTGGGTGGCGCAGTCGGTTAAGCGTCCGACTTCAGCCAGGTCACGATCTCGCGGTCCGGGAGTTCGAGCCCCGCATCGGGCTCTGGGCTGATGGCTCAGAGCCTGGAGCCTGTTTCCGATTCTGTGTCTCCCTCTCTCTCTGCCCCTCCTCCGTTCATGCTCTGTCTTTCTCTGTCCCAAAAATAAATAAACGTTGAAAAAAAATTTAAAAAAAAAAAAAGAAAAAAACAAGGAGGTGATTACCGTATGTCAAGATAGGATTATGTCTGGTGCACTTCTGGAGCGCAGGCAATGTTCTAGTTCTTGTCCTGAGTGGGGGACTATACAGGTATTTACTTTATAATTGTTTCCAATGCATTTATATTTTATGACTTTTTTTTATTACAAAAAAGAAAAAGAACCCCTTTCAAGCATGCAAGATTACAGTTATATCCAGAAGCTTTAGTAGCTTCACAAAAGACTGGAGCCAATACCAGAATAATTCACGCCACAGAAAGCAAACTCATTTTTTCAAATGAAAGGTGCTCCTCTCCTGGCCTAATTGTATGGTTTGCTTTGGCGTGGAGACTCAAAGTCTATGTGTATAAAACCATACCAGCAAAGTGTGTCTGCCCCAGATGATAAATGTAGTGCACCTGCCAGCCAGAAGGCGTGTGGCATTGTCAGTGCTTACACCTCCCCTCTCCTGTTCCCTGAGCACTCTCACGCTCCTCAACAGGCAGCCGACGGTTGGGGTACCCCCATCTCAGAGACAAAAATGTAAGAAGGCTCACCGCCAGGTACAACTCAAGTAAGAAGTAGAAACCAGACCACCATAAGATCTCAGACGACCACCTCAGGGCCCCTTGAGGACGACTTTCTCATCCCCAGGAGGTGAGGAGACACATCTTTTATCCCACGTAGAAATAATGACACGAAGAAACAACTGTATAACGGACAGCATGAGAACGTCCCCTCTTCTGCGTCACTGTCACTTGTCAAAGCCACTGCCCAGGGCATTATAAAGATTAGCTTCCCTCACTAGACCACGGACACCTTGAAAGTGGAGCTATGTCCTCTCATAGCTGGGACCCCAAGGCTTTGCACAGTATAAGCTCGTTAAACATAAACGAGCTCATAAACAAATGAATATATGAAGGTACAAACCCATGAATGTAGTGTTGTGGTTTCCATGCCACATAGTCATTCCTGCACAGTGCCACTTGCACTTTTTTAAAGCAGTTAAAATGACAGGAAGTAACTGCCCTTTTAACAGATTGGCAATATAGCCTCCACTTCTTAAAAAAAGGTTTCATGCCATATATAAATTCAGAAGTGGAAAGGGCTGACAGGTTAATTATAGACACAAAGGGCAAGGACAAATGGACTATGAGGTAAGCGAGTCTAAATGTGCCTTCCCAGGACAAGCATTTATTAATAAGCCTGCAAACACTGACTGGGTACAGTCAGGTTCAGCTCTGTGCCAGGCTTGGGGGCAGGGGTCTAGATTAGGAGAAGGCACAGTTTCTACACTTGAGGAATTTGGCTGGTATGTGAGAAGACAGCATGTACCTGTAAGAATAATAAAAGAAGTCCCCTCAGGATAGCAGGTGGAACAAAGGGGGAACAGGGCCTAAGATCTGAGTCACCTGCCCCTTTAGGGGACGGGATAGTCAGAGAAGACCTCACTGGGCTAGACCTACCTGGAAGGAAATATGGCCGGGACAGTGATTGGCAGAGAATCCAAGAAGAGGCCCCCCAATTCTTTGCCTCCAGCACCCCCCACCATATTCCTTCAGCCGCTGGAGGCAGGGATTTAAGTAAAAACAAACAAACAAAACACCCACAGGGATCTTCCCTTCCCTCTCCATCCTCCCACAAAGAACAAAGAGATGCTCAGATGACTGGGGAGGCAAATTTAGGGTCAGCTTCAGCAAGCAGATGGCCCCCAAAATGGAATACCAGGCCTCTAGGCAGGGTGTTAACACGAGGGAATGCTTTTTGCTCACCTTTGTCATTTATTGGAAAATATTTATTGGCTGCCTTTTAGATGCAGGCAGTGAATAGGGCAACTCCCACTGGGACATTACAGTTAGTCCAGACTAGAAGACCTAAGCCTGGGCCTCCAAACCCTGAGTCTGAGTCTCCCGGGGGTTTCTGCTTTATTCCAGGGTAATGGGCCTGGTGGTCTCCCATTACACCTGGGCCTTCCCAAAGAAAGGCCCCTCTAAGAAGCTTTCAAGCAGCATTCCTCCTCCACGCAAAGTAAAAAACTCCTCCCCACCCAGTATCCCTGGGCAAAAGTGGCTGTTCGGTTGATAACCTGGGAACGGCAGGAAGAAATAAGGCATGGCCACCTCCCGCAGGAGGAGGGGAATGTCCAAGAGGGTTTATCTGGGCTTGCTTGTTTCCAAAATCCGGTACTTTCTCCAAAAGGTAGGAACGAGGTGAGACCTGGCCACGGAGTTAAGTCCAAAGAGTGGAAAACTAGTTGTTTCAGAAATTCATCACACCTGCCCCGGGTAAACTTCCCACCTACTCCACCTCACTTCCAGGTCTTTCCAGCTGCTTCCAATCTACTTTCAGCCACTCGGGCGACTTGTGAAGAACTGGGACGGGATACCTGCCAGCGTGCGGTAGCTGCGGGGACTCTCACGCCCTCGCGCGTGGACAAGGCGCGCCCACACGCCGGGCCGCGCTTCGGTGGCGAAAGAACGAAAACTGCCCCCTCTCTGGCGCGCGCTGACACCGGCAGTGCGCGCCCGGCCGCCGCCCGTTCGCCTCGCCCGGGAGCGCAGCGGCGGGGAAGGGGCGGAGGCCCCAGGCGCACGGGGAGCGCTTGGCGCGAGGCGCACCTGGATGCGACCCGCCGTGCTAGCTCGGGCCCGGGCTCCCTAACATTGGTCTCCAGGCAGCGCGACCGCGGGACCCCGGACCCCCTCCCCCAGATCCCCTCCGGGTCCGCCGCTCCCCAGCTGGGTGCTCCCCGCTCCCTGAGCGTCCCGAGCGCTCTTACCCGGGAAATGGTCAGGGGTTGCTCGAAGTCCTTGCCCCCCACGAGGCGGAAGCCCCATGGTCCCGGGCCCTGGAGGACTATCTGCTGGCTGGTCATGGCGGAGCGACCCG